CCCCACAAAAAAACTGCCATTCCAGCCATGGAGGGGGTCAGAGTCCAGAGCTCTTTCTCTTTAAATACCTTTGTGGAAATTGACTCTAATTACTGCCAATTACCTGGAACCATTTCCACTTTGGTTTCTGGTGACAAATTAATGAAATTATCATTGTGGGCTAATTATAAAGGATGCATATCTGAGGCATGTTGCAGGAATATATCCTCTAGAGTCAGTGGTATCTCATTTGCACATTCTTGCAGAGAGTCGAGTATCTCTCCTCGCATCTCTAAATGATGCAATTTCAGTATGCCTGGATTCCTAGTCTCATTAATAAGAGAAAAAAATCTTTCTTTTATTTAATGCATTTAGTTAAAAGGTGAAACAGATTATAACCGTGGAATTTTCAGCCATGATATTGGTCGGAAGGAGTTAGTAATCTGCACATGGAGCACCCTGGATCCAGGCGAGCCCAGCTTTGGGATGGGCACCTGTCCTTTCTCACCCTCTCCAACGGACCTCAGTTTTGATAGTGGCTTAGCAATAGCAGTCACGGTGCCAGGAGTTAGAGAAAACAGGCAAGTTCTGGCTGAGATGCTCACACAACTGCCCTTCTTGGGGAGCGTTTCACCACATTATAATTCGGAAGCTAAAGACCTGAGTTTGAATCCCAGCTTTATCACTTTTAAACTATGTGGACTTGGACAAATCAGCCAACTTCTCTGAGTGTGGCTTTTTATTTTACTTGTAAGAGGTAGTAATGTCTCTTCTGCACACACCCCTGGGGGGTGGGGTGAGCCCAAAGCTGCAGAAATGCCTTGTGAACCTGCCAATGGCATAAACAAGCTGTTCTCAGGAAACCCTTCAGGGGTCAGCACCAAAGGGACCCCAGCCTCTTCTTTCTCTGCACTTACCTAGCCCTGTTCTAATTTCAAAAGGAAAGAAAGAAGTGAGTCTTCATGCTTGTGCGATGATAGTTGCAAGCAATTGCATTTTATAATTCCTCTTTGTTTTAACCAGTAAAATGAAAAACAAAACAAAAAACCAAACTTCCAGTGGGGGGTGAGAGTGGGGGTGAGGTGATATGTAAGCCACTGACATCCCCAGGTGAATTTGGAGGGCCTGGGACACTTGAGGTCCTCCAAGGTAGAGAGGATGAAAGAGGAGAAAGGAAAAGAAAGGTTGGTCTGTGTTGTCAGGTGTTCTGAAGAGAACAGAGGGGATGTGCCACCTGCTTCCCCAGGGTGGTAAAGAAGGTAAGCCGCTGGTGGCTCAGCTCAGCTCTACTCAAGCTTCTCAGGCGCTTACCCAGAATCAGACTCAGGGAGGGACTTCGCAACATGAGGAATTGTTTAAAGCCTGGAAGGGAAGCCTGGGGGCACCTGGGGCCTCCCTGGATGCCTCTGAAACCACTGGGGTTAAATGAACATGATCAAGCTCCGCAGCAGGTGAGGATGAGTAGATGAGACCCCAGAGTCGTCTTCTTCCTGTTCTTCTCCACTGTGTCCCTCTGAGGCCAAGTAGCTCAGTTCTCTCTCCTGTTACCCAGCACATGCTTGGTCCTGGTAAGGGATGAAGGTCACGGAGAGATAAATCAATAAAAAGCAAACAATCGGATTGTGAGAGTAAATGTCTTCTGTAGTCTTGTCCTAAACTCCCTGGCCAGCCTTGGCTTCCCCCATCCACTCTCCCGGGGGCCTCTTCCTCCCTGGTACTTTCCCAGGAGGCTCTGCGTACCTAGAACTCGCAGGGCAAAAGGTGTCCTGGGAGCCGGGCCTGGGCTGGAGGCTTGGGGAGAGACCCAGCCTTCACCCTGAAGGAGCCAGCTCACAGCGGGGATTTCCGCTCTTCTCCAGAAGCCTCCGCAGGCAGACCTTTGCCCCAGTTGTCGGGCCATAGGCCTCGAAGCCTCAGCTAAGGCAATCCCAGGTGAGCACAGCCGACTTTGATTTTTATTTACCACTTTAACCGCTGGGCGGTTCAGTGGCCGTGAGTCCATCCAGGCTGCTCCGCCACCATTGCCGCCATCCATCTCCAGAACCTCGTCATCTTTCCACACTGCAGCTCCTAATCTCCCCGCTGCCCAGCCCCAGGCGACCCCCATTCTACCTCCTGTCTCAGTGCATCTGATGACTCCAGGTGCCTCGTGTAAGTGGGATTGTACAGTATCTGACCTTTTGCGTCTGGCTTATTTCATCCATGTTGTAGCAGGTACCAGAATTTTCCTTCCTGAAAGGCTGAGTAGTGTTCCACGGTGTGCACAGTCCACGTTTTGGGTATCTATTCATCTGAGCTTGGGTGGTTTCCCTTGCCCCACACTTGACCTGGGTTACTGCACTCTGTTTGGATGGAGTTTACGTGATTTTTTGTGAGCCCCCTTTCCCCATGAGATTGGGGGAGAACATATCCAAACATCGCAGGCATCGCTGCCTATAAAAACAAACAAACAAACAAACGGGCTATTATATGAAGTAACTGATGCATCTTATGGTTGGAAATTTGGGAAGTGGGGAAAAGGGTCAAAGACAAGTAAAATGGCTTCTCATCCCTGAGATTGCAGGTGATCTATACGTACCTGGAGGAAACGGTTACAAGAGGAAAGGGCAGTACAGCAACCAGAGCTTTCCCTAGAAAGAGCCCGGCTACTCTGCTTTCTTTGCAGAGGGTCTTCTTGGAGGAAGGGGGACAGTCCCCTGTGAGGGCTAGAGACCTGGGACCAAGCGGCTCTGCTCACCAGGGTCAGGTGGGTGGGTGCTGCACAAACCTTATGTGGCACTCAGGGGACCATTAGTTGGTGTGTACATGAAGCTGCGCCTCCGTGGGAGCCACCGCACCTGGTGTGTGGACAGAGCAGCTCCTGAGGGGTCTGAGCCTGGGGCTGTTGTGGGAGGCAGCTTCCCAGAACCCCTGTCCCTCCCATGTGGGGACCCCTCTGGGAGAGCTCTCCTGAGCAGCCACCTCTGGGAACCGTTTGGGGGACAGGCAGGAACCAGTCACCTCTAAGAGAGGTAGAATGAAGCAGGAAACCCCAGGGCAGCAGTGGGGTAGTGTGGCACCAGGTGAGTAAGGGTGGCTGGTGGTAAGGGGACAGGGGACAAACGTGAATCTCATTTTCCAGTGAGTCTCTGGGTTGAAACCTCCTGGGGAGAATGACGTGGGGAGGCCTTTTGCCCCAAAACACACCCCGGAAGAGCCTGTTGCAATAAATAAGTCTCAGAAATTGCAGGACACTGACGCTCTCCTCAAACCCTTCCCACGCCCTCTCTTCCCCGGTTGGCACGAACTGTCTCTGTGTGATGCCCCTGGGCCCTGGTGCTCTGACAAGCCCAGTAGCAGCGTGCCCAGCCCAGCCACCGCAGGGCCGGGAGCTTCCAGGAGCACAGCCATCCTACGTGTTCCCTGCCCCTGTCCTGAAGGTAGGCAGGGCAGGAGAAGGATAAGCCAAAAGCCCAGCAGAGCCTAGCGACTTGGCCAGGACCCAGAGCCACATTTGCAAGCTCCAGGCCAGTTCTCCTTTCCTGCCAAGAGGGCAGAAGGGAGCAGTGTGACAGGCTTGGGAGAAGCAGGAGATCATGGGTGATGTCTGGACTCTCTGCTGAGATGCTGGGACAAGGAGGGCTGAGAAGGAGAGTGTGGCTTCGTGCCTCCAGTAACGGTTATTCTAATTCCCTCATGCGCGAGGTGGCTTACATTTTTAAAGCGCTCTCTTATCCTTGTTCTTGTTTGTTTGTTTGTTTTTAGAAATTTTGTTTAAAATACAGTTAACATAAAACTTACCATTACACCCATCACCACTATCTAGTTCTAGAACATTCTCACCATCCCCAAAGGAGCCCTGCTCCCACAGCTTGTGTTGAAAGCCAGTGCTATGTCTGCACCGTGTATGCAGAGTGTACCCAAGCAGAGGGCATCTTCTCTCCCAATAAAAACAGCTCTTTAAAAAAAAATAGTAATTTGGATGGGTCAACTTTTAAAGGTAATATTTAACATGTTACCTTAGTGACACGTTTTAAACCACATAGGACATAAAATAATATATAGACTTAAAATACTGCATTCCCCAACTCTCGCTGCCACGACAAGTCGAGCAGTTCACCCATTCTTGATGCTGCCTCCATCTCATTGCTGTGTTCTGCACACACCACCGTCCTCACGGCCCGAGAGTGGCTGCCCGTTATTAATCCAGAAGGTGGATTAATCTTTTTAATCCAACGTTTTCAAGGTATACTTCACATAGCATAGAAGTCCCCCTTTAGAAATGCTCCCAGAATTGTGCAGCCATCACCACCGTGTATTTCCAGAACTTTTTGGTTACCCCAAAAGGAACCCCCCAGTGGTGTTTAAGCAAGCCCTCGCCACCTCCCTCCCCAGATCCACTTCCTGGTTGTCCTTCTGTCACTGTGGAGTTTCCTGTCCTCATCCTACAGGGGCTTCTGTGACTGGCCTCTTAGGGTCTGGGCTGTTTCCCAGCTTCCTCCGCGTGGTGGCCTGTGTTAGCCCCTCATTCCTTGTTGTGGCTGAATCACATTCCATCGCATCCATCCAACGGCTTTTTTCATCTGTTTATAAGCTGGTGGACGTTGGGCCATTTCCACCTTTAGGCTACTGTGACTGGTGCCTGCGTCCTTCTGCTGACCAGCTTGTGCGATTCTCCCCATTTTACAGATGAGGTGCTGAAGCAGAGTGGTGGGAATGTTGGTGCCCCCTGGTAGGTCAGCCTTGTCTAGGGAGAGCAGCCGGCTGACTCTGGAAAGAGGGAGACGGGGATTCCTCAGTCAAGCTGGGGGGAGTGCAGGAGCCCCCTGCTCCTGGCAGGTCTTGCACCCCTCCGTGGAGTGTCGAGAGGCATGACTCAGGAGTCCTTCTCTGGCTTTGGTCAGGTTCAGCAGAAGGAGCCTTGCAGAATCCAGTGGCCCCCTGCCATGCCAGCTCGGTGACGCCCTGCCAGGTTAGACCACAGCAAGCTGGACGGGCCCTCTTTTGGATGTGCAGGGGAAGCCAGACCCTCCTCTGAGACCATGGGCCCCTCCCATTCTGCACTGCCGCCCTGGATGAAGTTTGGCCTGTGGTGGCCCCTTCTGCTCCCAGCAGGTGAGCGGCTGCCTTATCTCTGGGACTTCACTGCTGTGTGCTCACGTGCCAGGTGGGGGGATCTCCTGCAGGTGGGCTCATTGCAGTCCTCAAGGCCGCAAGGATGTTAGAGGTCATAGGCTGGTGCCTGGTTCCACAGGGGGAAGGTGGAGGGGCTGTCACAGCGCTGATATTAGCAGCTGTGTCACCTTGAATGTTCCCAGCTTCAGCGTTGCTCATCTGCAAAACACAAATAGTGCTGTGGACCTCCCGGAGCTATTGTGGGGACAGAAGGAAAGCCTGCGCCTAGCACCTGGGTCACAGCAGGCACCCAGGACACACACATGGTGGTTATTGTCCTTGCCGGGCTTTCTGTCCCAGTTGGAGCTGCTGTGGTTCTGGGTTTGGAGCAGTAGCTGTCCACTCGCTCAGTGGCAGGGCCTTGGTGTGCCGAAGCCGTTGGCAGAGTACTGAAAATCCCCCGAGAGACCCATGGACAGTGGTTGGCCTAGTTGATGAGAGGCGGCAAGGGAGCAACTCAGGGAGGTGACTTCAGTGGTGAGGGCTACGGCTGGCACTGCTGGTTCCTCTGACGACTGGGTGGGAACGAACGCTGCTCACCACCAGGCTTGTTGTCATGGGGCAAGTCCCCTCCCTGCAGCTTACCTGGGACCTGGGCTGGATCTCCCGCCTCCCTGCCGCAGCTCCCTGGCTTTGTTATCTGATATCACACAGGTACTGACGTCCATTTGACCACCAGCACGAGCGAGTGCACCGTGGCCTCGGGGCTGTGCACAGCTCTGATGGACATTATCATAGCGAGTCCTCCACAGGGTTCGAGGTGGGATCTGGATTCACACCCCACCTGACAGCTGAGCAAGCTGACGCTCACACAGATGGCGGCCTCTGCTTTGATGGGAAGCCGCGTGCCCGCTGCCTCCTTGGCTTCTGGAGACCCCTCCTCTTCTCTCCCATCCCACAGCGTTGGCGCAGCGAGGCCCCCACACCCAGGCCGAGGACCGCCTCTTCAAACACCTCTTCAGGGGCTATAACCGCTGGGCACGGCCAGTGCCCAACACCTCAGACGTGGTGATCGTGCGCTTTGGACTGTCCATTGCCCAGCTCATTGATGTGGTGGGCCTGTCTCCCCAATCCAGGCCCCTCAGAACCCGCCTCCAGACCCCAGGCTCTTCCCCAGGGTCCCCCCTGCAGCCCCCATCCCCCCGCCCTCCTCCATTACAGCGGGGACCTCAGCCTGTTCCTCCTAGGCTGCCCCAGCCCCTTCCCCTCTCACCCAGATCCCCTTCTGCGGCAGCAGGGGGCTGCAGAGGGCTTTCTTGTGTGACCCTGAAGAATCTGAGTCCAGGGGAGTGTTGGGAGGGACGCTGGGCTTGGGTGCCGCACAGAGGCTCTTCCTGTGGGTGGGGGTCCCGGCAGCCCCTCTCGCTCACCCTGTGCGCTGGATTCTGTTGCCCTCTCTCTCTTACCGGCCAGGACGAGAAGAACCAAATGATGACCACCAACGTCTGGCTGAGGCAGGTGAGGATTCTCCCCGTAGGGAGGGGACAGTCATCGCCGGGCCCCGCCTCCCTGCACCTTCCCCTGACAGGGGCAAGCTGCTGCATTCACGGTGGGTGACACCTGCCACTTGGGTCATCTGGTTGCAGGTGGCCTCTCCAGAGGACTGTGCTTGTGTGGTCAGACTCTGAGTCCACTCCCTGGACATGTCACCAGAGAGCCAGAGATGCCTTTCTTAGAAATGGACATTTCATAGTCCTTGCTGCTTGGGGACAGGCTGCATTGTCACCAAAACCCCACGGAGGTCTCATTCTGCCCATTTTACAGCTGAGGAAAATGAGAAGCAGGGTGCGGCTGGGCCGGTAAAGGGGGCACCCAAGTGCCTGGCTTAGCTCCTTCTACCAAAGAACGCCGAGTGTCCCTGTGTGTGTTGCCTGACAAACCCGAAGCTCGCCATCTAGAGCCACTTGGGTGCTTCCTATCTCAGTTTCATGGTCAGGAGTTTGAGTGGTTTCCTCTGCTTTGCATGGTGACTGCTTGGGAGCATCTGGCTGCTGGCTGTCCTGTTCTGAAGGGTTAAGGACAACTTTACTCACAGCAGGGGTGTTTGGAAAGTTCTGAAAGGGTGGGCCTGGCTGGCCTCCTGGCCCTGCCCAGGACCTCTCGGGGTCTTTCCCTGCGGTGTCTCCAGGAGGGAAGTCAGATTCCCACCTGTGGCTCAGGGCTCCCAGAAGGAGGGTCCCCAGACAGAAGTGGAACCTGCTGGTCTCGGGTGGCCTGAACGGGCCCAGCATCCATCTTGCCATATTCTGTAGGTCAGGGCAGTACAGGAGTCCAGCTGGATTCAGGGAGGGGCCATAGACCCCACCTCTTAGTGGAAGGACAGCCAAAGAGCAGGTGGCCCTCCTGGATGGGCCACTCCTAGGGCAGACTCATTAGAGCACAGGTCTCATGAGAACCCCAGTGCGTTCCCTCCCTTCTTACTCCTCCTACTCTGTTCTGCTGCTCTGAAGGCCTCTGACATGGAGGTGGCAATAGAATGTGAGAAAGAGGAGCTGGTGCCCTGCCCACGGCTTGCCCCGCCAGCACCGACTGTCCCTGGGCAGAGGTAAACATGCAGAGCCACACCCACCAGAATGTTGATTGGCATCTCTGTTTGAGTCCTTTGAATGGGTGCCTGGCCCTCCAGTGCCCTTTCTGTAATTCCTGTCCACCAGGGGGTCCCCGGATGTTGTTGGGGTGTGGTGCTTCAGCTACTCAGTTTAAATTAGACCTTGGTCCAGAGGCTCTGAGTGGATACTGCTCATCCCAGAGCTGCTGGAGCGTCAGGAGGCTCATCTTTACAGATGTGCCAACTGGGGACCAGAGCAGGGAAGGTACTGGGTGTGGTGGGGGCAGGCCTAGAACCTAGGTCACCGCAGCTGTCCCCACGGTCTGGTCACCTGAGCCAGGGGCTGGGCGGGAGGTGAGGACATACACTGCCGTGGGACCTGGGCCATCAATCCGTCACCACCTCTGACCAGCCTGAGATGCTGAGCGTGTTATTCTCTGAGCCTCATTTTCCTCATCTGTAAAATGAATGTGATTCAACCTACTACCACGTGCCTGGGGACAGTAATATGCCCCAACTTGACGTGGGTTCCCCCAAATGTTGGTTGAAACTGAAGACATGACGGATGGAATGGAGAGAGAATAAGACCTGATCCAGGGAGAGAAACACAAGTTCGCTTGGACGTGATTTGGGGGGAGCAGGAGTGAAGTCCAGAGATCTCTTGCTCCCTCCTGGGCCGGTCCCTGGGTAGGGAGGTCTCTGGAACATAGTCTGGAGGTCACAAACAGCTCCGAGCCTCAGCCGCTTGCCTCTGGCAGGTGGCTTTTCCCCTCTGTGGTCCTCACTTCCACCTGCTCGGCAGGCCCTGGCCCGCTGTCTCTGCAGCCTCTTCCTGGGTGGAGAATCTAACCACCTCTGAAACTGTGATGTGCTGAAACACGACGTCAGCTCAGATCCTGCAGTGCCTCACTGGAGTCAGCCAGGGAGGCAAGAGAGGACCAGGGCATGGCTGGGGACACCACCTGCCTGGGAGTTAGCTACTGAAGTGGGGGCAAAGCGAGGAAGGTGTTTATCTGGGAGGGTGTGCCTGGTTCCTCTGTCAGAGCCCTTTCCTGGCATCACAGCCTCTCTGTTCTGTGGGGCTGGGCGGGGCTCTGGGGGCTCCTGAATCCCTGGCTCAGCCTAGGTTGACAGAGGCCTCTCCCTGGCATGGCAGTGATGGGACCCCTCCCCTGCACAGGAGTGGAGCGACTACAAGCTGCGCTGGAACCCAGCTGATTTTGGCAACATCACCTCCCTCCGGGTCCCTTCAGAGATGATCTGGATCCCTGACATTGTCCTTTACAACAAGTAGGAAGACATGGAGCCCTGGGCAGGCCCTTAGGAGGGGCGGTAAAGGGGACTTGGAGGGCTTCGTCGTTTCCGTCTCAGTGCTTAGCAGAGAACCTCCTCCTCTGTATTCTTTTATTCCTTTCATCCTGTTCTCTCCCTCCTACACACCAACGTTTACTGGGCACTGAAGATGTATTCATTTGTAGCACAGTGACAGTGGGACAGATTTGCCAACTCTGAGTATCCTTTGGAAAATGTGGTTCAGGCTCTCTAAAAATGCCTAGGAGTTGAAATTTTAAAGGATGGCAATACTGTCTGACCAGGTAAGTTGGCATCCTGTAGTAGCACCTTTGAAGAACAAACTCACTGGGTATGTTTTTTCTTTAATCATGTTATCTTATACTTGCCTTGGATTCAAGACCCAAAGGATAAATCTCACCCTAACAACTAGAAGCTAACAGAAGCTGGAGGGCGGGGGGAAGTCCACAGAGAATCCCAGTGGGCAAAAATCAATGAATTAATATACGTTTTCATAGGAGAAATAGAAATCTATATTTTTATTAGTATGTTTGGTATCAGGCAATTCTTCATTGAGAAGTTAAAAAGTTCACATTTAAAAGAAGGTGTTATGATTGTCTAAAACCATTTTCTAAAACAGGTTGCTGCTTCCTTGAGATATGAATAGCAATGACAAGGTTCTGTGGTCACGGTTTTGGATCACACTGTATGTCTGTCACCCCCTGCCAAGGGCTTTGGAAGCCAGCAGAGCACAATAGCGTTTTAAATGCTGTTTTAAGTCCTGCAGCAAAGAAACCAGCTTACCCAGCACTTCCCAATCCCTGGGACCCTACCTTGGAAATGATATTTTTAAACAATAAAACATAGAGAGAGGGTACATTTCTGGTCCTCCAGAGAGGTCAGTGGTTCCTTATACCAGTTCCTTACACTGTCTGGTTCTAGGCAGGCCCAGCGCCCTCTCACCTAAACACACACATGCCACTGGGTGACCTGGCAGGTCTGACACCCAGGTACCTGTGTTTGCTGACTCACGCCCCCACCCTCTTGCTCTGTACCCAGGAGCTGGCACCCAGGAGCATTCTAATTTCTGCTTCCTGTGCATTTGGCAGAGATATGAGCAAAGTCCTAGGGTCAGATACAACTTCACATTGCAGGATCGTCAATAAAGCCGTGACCACTAAGACTCGATTTTCACAAGAAAAGTCCAGTCAAACTTCCGTAGACACATAAAGAAACATCTGCTCCACCCAGGCACTGCACTCTGGCCAATCAACAGAACTGTTCCTTCCCCCAAATGGGTGCACATTGCCATCTAGCGGCAACTATGTGAAATGACCAAAATGCCTTTAATTTCTTTTTCTTTGTTTCTTTTTCTTTTTGACTTTTTGCCTGCTGTATTTATTACTCTCTTTCAAAGTTCCTGTTTCCAGCCAGTCTGTCTCTCTACCCTGGAACTACTCCATGGGAAACTCCCTTGTATTCTGATTCCCTGGACTTTAGGACAGACGGTAGGAAGCGAAGGGGGAGTCGAAGAAGTCCCATCTGACTGGTCACCATTGTACCAGTGTCCCCATAGTCCTTGTGGGTCTTTGGATACTCATTCCCACAAAGTCCCCCCACCTCATCGACCACAGTCCCCATGATGCCCACCTGGTGGCCCCAGTGAGCACTGTTAAGATTTTCCTTGGCCCCACTCTTAAGATTTTTCTTGTTCCTGCAGGGCCCTCTGCTGTGGTGCTCCCTCCCCTCCCTTGGCCGAGTCCTCCCTGAGCACTCCAGCCAGCCTCCTGTTGGTGCCAAGCTGCCTCCCAGGGGGCCCTAGTGGTTGAGGTTAGATGCATGGACTCCAAGAAGTTTCCTCACTAGCCAAAATCTTAGGTCTCTTGAGCAAAGAACAAAAGATCCAGGTGGAAAAGTCATGATCTTCTACCTAAGAGGCTGCTTGCTCACTGTGTGCTAGGAAAGTACAGTTCAAGATCATCACTCTAAAATATTAAAGGAATAAAAACAGGCAAGGGAACTGCATATACCCCGTGACCTCAAATATGCAAAACCATCAGAATCATTGTCCGTGTGACAGTAGAATAGACATGATATGTATAATATCACAATGTTGATAGTGGGTATTTTAAAAATTCTTGGTACTTTTGCAATTAAAACAATGTTATATGAAAAGAAAACTCAGCTATGTCCATCTTCTGGGGAAGTTTTATACCCTTGCAAAAGACGGGACACTTGGCCAGCTGAGAACTGCCTTGTTGGGGTTGCTCTCTGCAGCAGTCTGGGTGGGTCAGGTAGGTGTGCAGAGCCCCCAGCTGGTCTTCTCTCTGCAGTGCAGACGGAGAGTTTGCAGTGACCCACATGACCAAAGCGCACCTCTTCTCCACGGGCACTGTGCACTGGGTGCCCCCAGCCATTTACAAGAGCTCCTGCAGCATCGACGTCACCTTCTTCCCCTTCGATCAGCAGAATTGCAAGATGAAGTTTGGCTCCTGGACCTATGACAAGGCCAAGATCGACCTGGAGCCGATGGAGCAGACGGTGGACCTGAAGGACTACTGGGAGAGTGGTGAGTGGGCCATCATCAACGCCACGGGCACCTACAATAGCAAAAAGTATGACTGCTGCGCCGAGATCTACCCCGACGTCACCTATGCCTTCGTCATCCGCCGGCTGCCACTCTTCTACACCATCAACCTCATCATCCCCTGCCTGCTCATCTCCTGCCTCACCGTGCTGGTCTTCTACCTGCCCTCTGACTGCGGCGAGAAGATCACGCTGTGCATCTCCGTGCTGCTCTCGCTGACCGTCTTTCTGCTGCTCATCACCGAGATCATCCCGTCCACCTCGCTGGTCATCCCGCTCATCGGCGAGTACCTGCTCTTCACCATGATCTTCGTCACCCTCTCCATCGTCATCACCGTCTTCGTGCTCAACGTGCACCATCGCTCCCCCAGCACCCACAGCATGCCCCACTGGGTGCGGGTGGCCCTGCTGGGACGTGTGTCCCAGTGGCTGCTGATGAACCGGCCTCTGCCACCCTTGGAGCCACACGACTCCCCAGGCCTGAAACTCAGCCCGTCTTGTTACTGGTTGGAGACCAACATGGATGCAGAGGAGAGAGAGGAGGCAGAGGAGGAGGAGGAGAAAGGCAGATGGGTGTGTGCAGGCCGCCTAGCCCCCTCCATGGGTATCATCTGTGGCCGGGGACGCCTGCACCCACAGGCCTCAGGGCTCAGGGCCGAGGCTCCCTCTGGAGAGCGTGAGATCTTGCTGTCGCCTCGCATACAGAAAGCCCTGGAAGGTGTACACTATATTGCTGACCACCTGCGGTCAGAGGATGCCGACTCTTCGGTGGGTGAGGTCTGGGTGAGGGCCTCCCCTGGGTGACCTTATTAGCTTAGCAGGGAACCCTCCCACCTCAAGATGGTAGCTAGACCAACCTGGTCCCCTCCCTGAGGGCTGGCCTCCCTCATTCATGGCTCCAAAGAGTCTGGAATCAATTGTGAGAGAACATTTAGCTGGTGGCTCTTAGTACACTTGTTGGCTGTAGGTCAAGAATGTCCCTGCTCAGCCTCACTGGGAGACAGCGAGCAGAGAGGGCGTGCTCAGATGTGGACTCTGCCATGCCACGCTTATGCCACTACCTGCAGGAGTTGGCAGGGATACGGAGGTGGAGGGGGCATTAGGAGAGCCTGGTGGGTTAGCGCCTGTGGCAGTGGCCTTCCTCTTTTGTGCTAGATGGTCCCCTCTCCTCTTTTCTCATCAGGCCCTTTATGAAGCTCATGAGTCAACCACAAACTCTGCAGATTCTTGGTTGTACCAGGCTGGGCCTCTCTGCAGCCCCTGCCTTATCTAGCGCTCAGCATCAGAATTCTCTTATCAACTTAGGGAAGGGTGAAAGGCTGGAGAGGATCACAGGGTAGCCTTGTTGAGTGAATGAGAAAATTAATCATTAATTTGGGAGCAGCTAGGCATCCATCCCTGGCCTGGGCTGGGAGTCCAAGCTGCACAAAGCCCACCCACCCCCTAACCTGCCCCGAGTCACACCTACCCCACCCTCTCTGCACTGAAATCGCTGCAGCCACTGGGAGTCCATCTCCTTAGATGGTTCCAAGCACCTCTCTGTGTCCCTCTAATCCCTTTGCCCAGAACCTGTGAGCCCCAGTAGTGTGGAGGGTGAGACGGGTGGGACACAGGAGAGGATGGTATGGGGCTTGGGCCAGCTCTGTTTCTCCCTCCACCCCATCTCTGCACCTGTGCCAGTCTTCGCTTCCCCTCAGGTCTCAGGGGGCAGCTGCTGCTGCCCTGTGGTTGTCTCTACAGGGGTTGAGCATGGGAGGACTGCCTCTGTCACTGTGAGCCCATTTCTCCCGCAGGTGAGAGAAGACTGGAAGTGTGTTGCCCTGGTCATCGACAGGATCTTCCTCTGGCTCTTCATCATCGTCTGCTTCCTGGGAACCCTGGGGCTCTTTCTGCCTCCATTCCTGGCTGGAATGATCTGATGTCATGTCCCTTGTGTCGGCTCCAAGGCCGTCCTGCCAGCCAGCAAGGACCACCTTTAACTGCAGCTGCCTCCAGAGTGCCCTCGGGGGCCAGCGCCATCTGCCTGCGGTGCTTCTGGGGAGAGAGCACCAGCCCTGAAAGTCTTCCTGGAGCACTCACTGTGACGCTATGAACCTAGTACTGGGAATCTGCTGGACAGAAAGCCCGGTTTAGGAAGCAGAGGAGCTAGAAAAGAAGGAGGACTCTGCCCTGCAGAGGGGTGGGACTAGCACAAGGAGAAACAAGATGGCCTTGAGGGAGGGGCACGTGGGGGAAGGGGAGGCTGCCTCAGGGGTGGAAGGGCTATGAGCAATGGTCTAGATTTAGGAATGAGCCCGAAGTAACCAGGGGAACCCCCAGGCCAGGGTCGGGGAGGCTGGAAGCGCAGGTTGGGCTCTTTAAACCAGGCTGAGGAAGTGTTCAGTGTGAGTTTGCAGGGCTTGGAGGTCTGTGGTGTAGCAAGGGACTTTACAGAAGGAGCGGGGAGCAGGTGTGGGGGGGCAGTGGAGCAGGGCCTTCCCATCCACCCAAAGCACCTTCAGCACCCCCTGGGGCATCGTGCCTCCCTCTTCCTTGCAAAGAAGCAGCCAGAACTGAGAGCCGCCGCTGTGGGCGCTGTGTGCCCTGTGTGCCCATGAACCTGCAGTGAACAAACCAGGAAGGCCATCCTGGCTGTTCTTCCGCAGTGCCCTGGTCCCTGTAGTCTGCGGTCAGCACACCTCTCTGGAGTTGGGGATCTCTGCTTCAAGCTCCTTCAGTTCTGAACTCCTCCCAGCCAGGGACCCTTCAGTTTCTCCTCTCCCTAGGACCTAGCCCAGCACAGGGCGAGGGGCACCGGCACTCTATGTTGTGCGTGGTGGAGGGGAAACACTGAACGTTTTGGGCTCCACGCCTGCTGGGGGATGCCAGTGCCCTCGGGTGTCCCTCCAGCCTGCCTTTCCTGTCCTCCCCAGAGCCTCACCACGTCTGACCTGCTGTGGGCCATTCCGTGCAGCTTGTTCTTGCTCTGAGGAATGCCGAGCCCGGTGGGTGGAGCCTCTCCTGAGCTCTGTCCAGCCCCTGAGGGCAGGACCTCAGCAGCCACCAGAGGTGTACACCAGGCTGTGCAGACAGTGTGGAGCCCCAGGCAGGAAGCAGAGAAGGGCAAACTGCTGACTTCCTTCTGTCTTGGGGTCCTGTCCTTCTGAACCTCCTCCTCCTCAGCACACAACACTCCATCACACATCTGGAAAGACCTGCCTACCTGTGACCCTGGCCCAGGCCCTGCTCCTCAGTTCTCTCTGAGACCCCCACTCAGTGGCCCTCTGGCCTCACACCTCCCTACTCCTGTGAATGTAGCCCCTCCCCCGGTCTCTCTGTCTACCTGAGGCTCCCAGAGGTGATCTCCTGCTGCAGGGACGTTCCCTGTGTTGTTCATGTCTCCTGTCCATCCATCTCGCATGTGAGTAAAGTGGTTAAATAAAGCCAAGTCTGCTGCTCCTTCAGCTGTGTGACCCCCCCCAGAGCCCAAGTGGTCTGGGTGCAGCTGGAAGAGGGATGCCACATGGACGAAACTGCCCTGGGTCCCTCCTGGAAAGTGGCCCCTGAGTCAGGCACCCTATCGTCCAGTTGGGGCAAAAGGGCTGGAGCACACCTGTCCCACTGCCAGGCGCTTTCCTTGGCCACGGCCCAGCATCAATCAGCCCTTGATCTGCACCCAAGAAGAACACCATCCATCTCTTGCCGGGCTATGGTTCACGGCCAGCCTCCTCCCCCAAAGGGCACATCAAACCAACACCACAGTCCAACAAACCACAAAGCAAATGGTACGAGTTTAATTCAACCACAAATCTGATAGAAAGAAGGTAAAAGAAGGCTCAACACAAACACTTGAGAAAGGAAGGGATCAGTTGAGAAAAGGGGGGTGGGGAGAAGAGGAGGAGTAAGAAAAGGCAGAGAAGGTAAAGGAAGAAAGAGAGGAGGTTGCCAGGGAGAGAGCAGATTGTGGTCCAAAGTCCAGTCCTGGCCGCTGTCTCTCTGCTCCTTCCCCTGAGACTTGGTGTGATAACAACACAGTGTCCTGTGCCAGAATTCCCAATCAGTTTGTTCTTGGACTGTGTCCCAGATTCCCCATCAGGAGGGAACCCAGCTGTCAATCCAGACCAAACTCACATTAAATAAATTTGAATATACACTGTACAAGAAAGCCAGCCCATCCCCCATCTTACAAGCCTCCTGACCCCCCAAATAAGGCCCTTCCCTGGCCCCTCTGTGCATCAGGGGATCCCCGAGGGCTGAAGAGGAAGGAGAAGAAATAGCTTGGCTCCCATATGGGCCCGCCATGTCCATGCATAAGCCATTTTGGCTGCTAGGGACACCACTGTGACCCCAATGAGGCTCCACACCCAGGCTGGGGTGGGAGGAGTAGCTGGCGGTGACAGTGACCTCTGAACCATGTGTGTCACACCCACCCTGCGTCCATATCCAGAGTCCCCTCCATCCAGCTGCAGCCTGAACAGCACAGTCTGGGGTGGGGCGGGGAGGGGGTCGTGCAAAGTGGTGAGGGAAGGACCCCTCACCCCGGGCCTTCCCTGAGAAGACCACGTGACCAAAGGCAAGGCAGGGGAGGTGCATGACGGGTGGGGGTGGAAGACGCAGGCGGGTGGCCCCCACCCTAGGTCACTCTGCAGGCGGGTGGGCCAGATTGGCCAGGACCTTGGCCTGGTCCACGGCATCCAGCAGGTTCTTGGCGTCCACGGCCAGGGTGTGGGAGGCCGTGAGCATCTGTCGCTTGCACTCCTCACTCAGGGAGGTCACGGCATTCTGCTGCGCCAGCCGCATCTTGTTGATGAGGTCTGCCAGGTCCTTGTTGAGCAGCTTCTGGGTCCCCTCAATCTGTAGGGAGAGCATACAGAGAGGCGGGGTGCTTGGGCCTGGGGAAGGGTATTGGCTGAGGTAGTCAGCAGTCCCTGGGGACAAGGTGGGTCCAGGCCTGGCTGAATCCAGCCCCCCATACAGATTGGAGTGGGCATCCCAACCCCTAGCCAATCATGTGTGAGCATGGCCTGACCCAGCCCCATACGCCATCCGGTCACAGCAACAACCCTTCACACCACCAGCATTTAAGTGAACGGTCAGGGTCCACGGGCCTGTGCCGTTTTGTAACTGTCTACTGTCAAATCAAGAGATCTGGGATTTTTCTTTTTTAACCACCACATGCCCAGAGCCTAGCAACTGAGCACATGAAACGCAAGAGATGTTTGCTGAATGAGCGAGTGGTCATCCCTAGGATAGGGAGCTATCACATCACACCTGACCTCTCCTCAGGAAATTTGCCCTGAAGCTGGCTAGGTCCCTGGTGGCCATCTCAGCCCTCTGGTGGTACCTGCCTAGCTGGGGCTCCTCTGTGGGCTACTGCTGCCACCCAGAGGCAGGTTGAGAAATGTCCCAAGTGTCCCTGCTCTGTCTTGCCTTGAGCAGACAGATGGTTAGGGTGGTGATGGGATGGGCCACATGCCACATGAATCATGTGGCGGAGAGCTGACGGTGAGAGGCAGAGGATCCCAGAGCTCCATGGGAGGTCCACATTTGGTTTCCAGACGGACAATCGACAAATGTCCAGTGGCTCTGGATCAGCTTCTTACAGCTGCAGTAACAAATGACCACAAACCCAGCAGCTCCGAGCAGCACAGGTCATTCCCTGACAGTTCCGCAGGTCAGACTTCTGAGCAGGCCAAATGGGGCTAACACCAGGGTGCGGACTGGACTGTGTTCCTTCTAGAGCTGGGCAGGGTGTTCCCTGCCTTTCCCCATGTTGAAGCTGCACCCTCCAGCAGCAGTGTCCCTCTGACTTTGGTTTCTATCATCACAGCCCTTCTCTGACCTTCCCCCCGTTGCCCATTAATAAGGACACAGGCCCACTTGGATAATCCACCTAATCTCCCCCTCTCAAGAGCTTCACACTGATCACATCCCCCAACCCCCTTTAGCCTTGTAAGATAATGCGTTCACAGGTCCCAGGGATCAGGCTAGGTCCCTGTGGCCATCATAGGGCTGTGTCAGCAGGACACTGGGATTCCCAGGGCTTCATTGACAGCTCAGGATTTCAATGACACATTCACCTTGACCTCGGTCCAGTGAGTAGATAAAGGATCAAGGGTGGGGAGGAGAGGTAGGCGTGCCCTCTTGCACATCCGCATTCAATGAGCATTCATGGCAATCTGAGATCCGGATAGGAAATTCACCCCAGAAGCTGGCCAGGCTCCTGGGGGCCTCTAGGCCCTCTGGTGGTGGCTGCCCAGACATGCTGCGCGGTCTCCTGCTGGTCAGAAATGGGGCTGCCCAGGTGGCCCCAGGGGCCTCTGCTAGAAATGCAACTAGGAACAGGTGGAGGTACGGGGAGAAGTGACAGATTCGATACCATCTAGGATAGGACACCTACCTCTGTCCTCGAAGATGATGGCAAGGAGGGCAGGAGACCATCCACACTCCCAATGAGCTTCCTCAGGGTCAGCCCCACGTTCTGAGGGGAGGAAGGCGCAGGACAGCTGTTACCGCCTGCTGTTTTCTTTTCCAGAAAGCCCTGTTTGCTTTGGCAGGAGCACTTCTTGGGGGTTCCAGGAACCAACTTCCCTTTGACCATGGGTGGAGACACCATCCCCTTCTTCAGGGGTGCACAGCCCCACCTCCTCGGGTCCCCTTCCGCCCGGGCTCTCACCTTCACCACCACCACGTAGCCCTCGGGGGGCAGCTGGCACAGCTCATTCTTGAGATCCAGCACGGCCCGCACCAGCTCCATGACATTGAGGTACACCAGGTCATCGGTTCGGTCCAGGTTGGCCGTGGGCTGGATGGACTAAGGACAAAAAGCAGAGGGGGCTTGGGGGACCTGGGAGGACCCTGCTACCACTGCTATTCTTTCGTGGGTAGGCAACTCAGCCACCAGTCACCAGGAAGGCCTCTTTTATGGAGTAATAGTGACCTTTCTTGGGGGGGTATCCCTCCCTCTGCCTCCAGGACAATGGCTGTCCAGCCAGGGAGCCTAATCACGTTCTGGTGATGGCCTCACCAGAACCATGGAACCATCAGCCTTGGGGTCCAGGTTGGTCAGTGCCCATCAGGTGATTCTAATGGGCAGCCGACATGGAGAACCACTGTTCTAGAGCAAAGAATGCCAGTGGCCACCCAGGCTACTGCAAGGACAGGGCGGAGGGGGGTGCCAGAAGCTCGAGGGAGGCTCAAGAGAGAAAGGGGCCACTCCTCCTCCCCCAGGGCTGCACCTATGAGCTTTCCTCTGGGTCAGGCAGTGGGGACAGGAGCCTGGCTCTACCCCTGCTTCTACAAGAACCAGCTGTGTAGCCTGAGGCAAGGAGCTTGTCTTTAAAGTCCATAGTCCTCAGTCCTGGGAATCCCCACTCCAATTCACATCCAGCCTTGGGGGAGCCAACACCTACCTGTGCCCCCAGTCGCGGTGGCTTCTGTGGGGGTCCCGTGAACTCCGCTGCAATGGGAAGGACAGTGAGTGAGTAAGTGGGCGGAGGGGTCTCAGCAGCTGGCCTTTTCCTTCATTCACGCTGATGATCAAGCAAAGCCCTCTCCTCTGCTACCAGGAGACTCAGGGGGCATTAGGCCCCAATCCCAGGAAGATGGCAGGGGAAGAGCATGCTGGCCTCCGTGGTTTGTAGAGAAAGAAAAAAAATCAAAGTCACAGCAGAGATGGGGTGACCTCATGGGAGTTCCAGCTCTGACATGCTTCCTCCTTGGTGGACACAGGCCTGGGGGACAGCAACACTGTGGCCTTGGCCAGCCATGAAAAAGAAGCCTCACCCTCTGCAGGCAATGGGGGTCCATGGAGCCCCCACCCTGGTGTAGCAGCTGCTCATGGGTAGATTTGTGAGGATGCTATATTGATTTTCCTTGAGCATTTGGGGCTCAAGGAAATGAAATACCAGCAGAGCCTTGCTGTTCACGCTCACTCTGATGAACAGACACACACAGGCCCTGCGCAGCGGCTGGAAGGGAAAGCACAGGATGGAAGTCAGAACACCTGGTTCTGCTCACACCTCCGCCACCAGAGAGCCCTGCCACCCAGGACAGCACATCTGTATTCCCCACATCTCAATTTTCATCCGCAGAATAAGAGGGTTAGCTCTGAAGTCACCTGGAACCAGAGAGCCTAGGCTCACCCCTGAGCCACGTAATTAGCAGCTGGGTGACACTGGGCAAGTTATCAACCAGCCGGCATCTCAGTGGCATCCTTTGTAAAATGGAGACACACCGCCAGTCTCTGAGTTGCTACAATACAAATGAGTTAACACTTGTGACTTGGCTGGTGCCTGCCCTGTGTTAAGTTCTCTGTGTCCATTGTCCTTGTTCTTCTTATCATTATCATCAGCTCCTCCCCCTCCTTTCCCTGACTTCAGCACAGGCTTCTGGAGAGATCTCCTAGGCTTGGTCTCATTCATCCCTTGGGCTTGGAGAAGACCTAAGAAGTAGGGGAGGTGGGTGGAGCTACTTAACCTTCCTCCACCAGGGTGAGGAGTGGAAAGGCGAGAATCACCCACTCTGCCAAATAAAGGCAGGCAGGAGATGGACAGAGAAGAGGACTGAGGAGGAGGGCGGAGCAGCTCTCCACTCTGAGCTGACCCCCTTTGCACATGCCACATTAAAACAAGGCAAATAGATGGTTCTCAACATTGCAGGCATACTCTGCTGCCCCCTGCACAGGCAGTGAACAAAGATGGGGTACCCAGGTGGGGACTCCCCAAGGAAGGGCAGGAACACTCACTGTAGCCGGCCTCCTTCTCTGGGGTCTACAAGGAAAGAAGGGAAGAGAACAGTCACTTCTACAGCTCTGGGGACCACCCACTGTCCCCCTCCCTCAGCCTGCTCCACAGTGTGATCAGAGACTATGGCCATGGGGTGGGAGGGTCCCAAGATGGGCAGCCCCAAGGAGGAGACAGGCAGGCCCAGGGACTGGTGATTCCTGTGGCGACAAGGCCTTCCTAGGCCGTGGTTCTAAAAAGAGGCCTCCTCAGGTGACTTACCAATGGGGACTTATCATTCATGTAAACCATAGGGTCCTGCAGAGGAGACCAAAGGCAACAACTTAGGGTTCTGGAACTGAACACCAAAATGCACGGCACGCCTTTGTCCCAGCCAGTGGGAGGCAAAGAGGGCACGGGGAGAGCAGGGAAACCCCTCCCGGGCTCCGCGCAGGCTCACCAAGGACTTCTCCTCCTGCCTCAGCCACTGGGAATCTTCCAGCATCTGCTTCTGCTGCTTGTCCAGGATCTGCCGCATCTTGATCTTCTCAGCCTCCCACAGCTGCTGGGCCTCTTCTCTGCTGCTGGGTCGGATGAAGTCCTCCTCCTGGGAGGACAGCAGAGAGAAAGGAGAGATGCAATGAGCCCATCCCCAGGCTTGGAGGAGGGACGGTGTCCAGAAGAGCCTCAGGGGAGCCACAAGCCTCGGCCTCGAAGTCGCTTCTTTCTAGCTTGTTCTTAGCCTGGCAGCCCTATATGCAGACAGTTACTATCAGGGACTCACACACAGCCCTGGAGGCAGCAGGAATGACGAACCCCAGCACACACTGCTAAACGTGCACCGTACTCAAGCTGCGACGTGAACTGTCAATGACATTCTGACATTATATTTTCTCGGTTGGCATTGGTGATGTTGCTGTCATTTAATAGATTTAGAAATGCAAAGCCAGCCTCTGGAAGCCCTTTGTTTTTTTTTTTCTCCACCTAAGTGCCATGGTGGCAGTCCTGGAAGCTTCACGGGACACAGGTACGGCCTCCAGCTCCCTGGCACGCAGTCCCACTCAGCTTTGTTAAGGTAGCCGCCAGGGTTATCTAACCAAAGGCCAGAAGTGCAGGAGCTAGAGGCAGGATGAAGAATGAAATTTAAAGAAGCAAAGCTCTGCAGATCTCAAGGCAAGTGCTTCCTCTCCCCTGCTTTATCAGCCTCACCCCGTTTTCACTCACCTGTGGGACTGCGGACCTACAGACTGAGCTGCTGAATGGAAAGCGCGGGTGTCTTCCTATTTTCCCTCCTCCTTTTTATGGTTCAATTGTGTAATTATCTGCTTAGTCCCTCCTACTACTCTGCTTTCCCCCTGCTGTACAGTGATCCCCTTGGCATCCGGGACGGAGGGAGAGTGCCAGGGGCATCCTTTTGAGTACTCCCCAGGGAGCCTTTGCCAGTGACAGGACTCAGCCATGACATGGAAGCCCACAGGCACTCCAGCTCCTGCTATAGTCTGAATGTGGCCCTCACAGTTCATGTGTTGGATGTTTAATCTCCTGCACAACAGCGTTGGGAGGTGGGGACTTTAAGAGACCACTAGGCCACGAGGGCTCTGCCTTCATGAATGGGTCAGTGCCACCAAAGCAGGGGTGGGCTAGTTAGCACAGGAGGGGAGACTGACAGAATCACGAGTTAGGCCTCCTTCCCTCACTTTCCCATACTGTTTTTCGTCACAGGGGTGATGCCTCTGCCAAGCTGTGACACAGCAAGAAAACCCTCACCAGCTGTGGCCCTTGATGCTGGACTTCCTAGCCTCCAGAACTGTAAGAGATGGATCTCTGTTCATCATACATCACCCAGTCCCCAGTGTCCTGTTAACAGCAGCAGAAAATGAACTAAAACAGTTCCTTTCCTTCAAAGTGGCCAGTGCACACACAAATCACATAAAGAAAATTCTAGAAAAACTCTATATACTTTTAGAAAGCTACAATCCCTGCCAAGCCTCTCAAAATAGTTTCCCCAGTACACCCTATAAAACAAACTTGAATATTACAATATAGTCTAAAAACAGCTGTTTTGGGATAGTTTACCTAGAGTTCATTTAGCTTCAGTTACCAATATTGATTTCTAATAATATTTTCCCTACAAGTTAGGTTTTTTGCTAAAATATTCCTTATTCAATGATCTATTCAATAAGTACTCATTAAGCAATACTATGAAGCAGGCATAGAACTGGGTGCTGGGAGAATAGTGATTTTAAAATAGAAGATGTTCCTTTTCTCGTGGGGATCAGTAAACAAGAGTTAGGCCAGGGTTGGGGCCAGACAATCAACCCTTTATTTCAAGGAAATTTCCTTGTAGGATGCAAAGCAGCCTCTGGCCTCCACCCTCTAGGTACCTGCAGCCCTCCCCACTGGGACAAATGTGTCTCCAGACATTGCCAAGTGTCCCCGCAGAAGCAAAACACCTCAGCTGAGGATCACTGAGCTAGACTGTTTTAAAAGAAAACAGATTTCAGAATGTAAGGGTATTTTACAACCCTGGGATTGCTGAATATATGATCTACTTTACAGAGACAGAGTGCTATGGTTTGGGCATTGTTTGTCCCCCAGAGGTCCATGTGCTGGATGGAGGCTGGGTTCCATGTGGCAGTGCCAAGGTGTTGGAACCTCCAAAAGAAGTGGGGCCAGGTGGGACATAACTAGACTGCAGGGGTGCCACTCTTACAAATGGTTTAATGCTCTCTCATGGGAGTGGGCCAGCTGTGGAAGGAGTGCATTAATTCTTGAGAGAGGGGACTGCTATGAAAAATGTATCCCTCTTGGGATCTTGTTTTCTGTATTGCCATGGGATCTCTCCTTCCTATATGTGCTCCCACCGTGATGCCACCCATCAGACTGTGATGTAGCCAGAAGGCTTTCACCAGAGCTAAGCACATGTCAGTGTCTTTGGATCTCTGAAACTATGAGCTAAACAAACCCCTCTTCTCTATAAAGTATCCAGCCTCGGGCATTTTTTTATAGCCACACAAAAAGGAATAAGTACTCATTAAGCAATTGAAGCAGGCATAGAACTGATACTCCAAAATGAACAAATTTTGAGGCCACAAATATCCTTGGTTAAGTGTCAATACCTGTAAACACAATGGTATGGCTGCCCCAGGCTATTGACAAATAGTGATAAAAAGGAACTAAGTGCCTGAGGTTCTATATACAGAGATAAGAATTTCTAGGTGTAAGAAAAAAAAATACACAGACTGAGAAAGATTCAATGCAGAAAGGATCAGTTACTGGAGTCCGGAAAATACTGTATAATTTTACAAATGCCACCACTTTCATGCTTTGTGTGTTCCAAGCTTAATCTTAGCAAAAACCGTAATGAACCAATATTACAAGACCCAACAGAATGAGTCTTTCAATTTCATAGTAAGACCAAAGGAAAAAATGAGAGCATTTACAACCTTGAATCTCTAGGCTGGTTTTTCTGAAATGCACTCTAGGTATTCTTCCCAGGTCATGGACAGTTAACACTCCTTTTGTCTTTTAAAATGATGTTCATGAGCCACGACACCTGCCAGCCTCGTTCCCCCACCTCCATATATACCCTTCCTTGCTCAAACACCACCCCACTTGCCCCTGCCTCTTCCACCCCTACATTCCAGTTTCTTCCAGTCCATCCTTCAGGGCCCAGCTGAAAGCCAGCAGCAGGCAGGAGTCACTCTCCCCTCTGAACACCTGCTTCGTGGCCCCCACAACTTTCTGGCTCACATTACCCGTGAGCCTGCACTTGACCTGCTCCTTCTGACTGACTGTAAGCTGCTTGAAAGCAAAACCACGTGTTCCTCCTTCAGCACCCTGGACAGCGCCCGCGAGCGCACAGGCACACTGGCGCACAGGCGCACCGTGGCCTGTGGAACTTCAGTACTGACTTGCGAAGACTCCGGGAAGGAGATGCTGCCATCCTGACTCTGCGGCATCCCACAGGCTCCCAGATGAGCCAGGCCATGGGGCCAGTCAGGAGGAAAATTGCTGTTACCATCTCTGAGCGTTCCTTTACTGTTTCCAAATGCCTTGCAGGGGACCTCGTCAGCGCTTCGCCTGGGGGAGGATTTTCTCAGTGTTTCTGATCTATATTTTTAATCTTTTTTTGTTTGATTAAAGAAGTGCTCATTATGTTCTTGCAGGCAGATTTTTTCTTGGCAATTACTTCTAAACCCCTGACACAAAAGGTCTTTTTTCCTGCGGCACAGTCTGTCTTTATGGAACGGAACAAAATCCTCCTAGTGGAGCAGGGCTTAGACAAAGGCCACGCAGCCCCTCACGTGTACAAAACAGCTTCTTTCTAAAAGCACAGTTTTTAAAGGAAAGCTCCCTAAAATTTAATTAATTATGTATAAAGAGTCGAGGGCAGAAAGGTAGAGAAACTGCATACTGCCTAAATTATAGTACATGCTTAGAACCATAGTTTTATTATTGTTAAGCATATTAAAAGACAGAAATTGTTTAAATTAATGTGAGAGAGAAAAAAGAGGTAAGTTTATTTCACAACAGATCTTGCTGCCTGGAATTTGAAGCTACCATGGGCATTCAAATTTTTACTAAATAAAGAATAACAGTACAGACATATATCAACATACTTGCCAAAAATTTCCAAATCTGTTATGATAAATACATATTCCCTTGCCCCCAAATTTTTAGAGACATATATCTTGAGCCTGAAATATCAGACATATATACAAGTTAGAGCTAAAATAATGAGTTTAGCCTGTTTTGTAACCCAATTTGGTAAAATATGTCAAGATTTCACGACAACGAACGGCAAGAGGTCATTGAATTAAAGGAGATGATTGGTGGCAAGTGAGCATCTGCTTTCAAGCAAAGATGGTTTTGCTACATAAGATCCGACAATCAACAGATATTCCACAAAGCACTCAGGGTCTCACAGTCACTGATGACAAAGAGATCACTGGGGAGGTGGCTTGGCCTCCTCTCTAGCAGTTCATGAGCCTGTAACCACAATACCCCCCGAAGCTCCTTCCCACCCAGCAACACCTTTACAAAAGCAACAGCAGGAGAAGCAGCCGCCAGGAAGCCTTTCTTTCCTCTGATGGAGGAGAGATTTAGCAATCAGGCAGGATGGCAGAGTGGGGCAGAACCTCCAGGGTCTTTTATTCTCCAGCACCACCAGGCCTAGCTGCACTCCACCCACCAGCCTCCACACTACTGCACTGCACCCTGGCTCTGGGGCTCAGAAAAGGAAGATAATTTTACATCATTTGCCACAGCACCAGTGTGGACAAGGGCAGTTCCAGCTGGTGTCCAGCTGGTGTCCCCAGGAGCAGAGCCTAACTTCATCCCCACTCTGATGTATTTGCAAAGGGAAGAGTCACAGAACACCTCGATGACTTGACTGGCACACAGAAGCATGGAGGGCAGCCCTGAGGCTGAGGATGTGGGGTTCCTAATATCCCAGGCCACCTCCCTCCAGCAGCCTCCTCAGTCCGGGCTGGGACTCAGCATGCAGTGCCCTCTTACCCGCATGCTGTGGCGCTTGAAGACATTGTGCCGGTGGAGAGGTGGGGTATGCAGCGAGTTAACGGGAGATGGGTACTCCATAGGGCTGGTGAGCGTAGGGGAGCTGGCACACAGACCCTCAGGGACCTATTCAGGAGAAGCAAAGAAGCACAAGGCACAGGACAAGGCAAGGGGGTGGACAATCAGCTGCTACAAACAGGAGCACAAAGAAGTGATACAGGAGCATCATGGGGGACACAAACTTGCTCTCTCAGAGTTGCTGAAGAATGTGGTGTGGCATTTCCTTGGCCCTGTTGGATACACCTGGTGGAGCATCGTGGCCTCTCATCTGCCTAACACTCCCCCAGTGGTGTTCTGCACACACAGGGTCCATGCAGGCTGCTATTGAGACCATGACTCCTCCCTTGGGCCCTTTTCCAAACAGTTATGTTTCATAGTCATGTTACAAATTGACAGATATGATTAGTCCATGGATAAGTAAATTCTCACACACATAGTTGTCCTTCCATATTCAAGGGGGATTCATTCCAGGACACCCTGTAGATACCCCAAATCTGCAGATGCTCCAGTTCCTTGAGCAAACTGGCACGGTATTTGCATGTAACGTACATACATCTCCCAGTATGCTTTAAATCATCTCTAGATTGCTTTTGCCATCTAATGCAATGTAAGAGCTGAACAAATAGCTGGCATACAGTCATTTTAGGGGAATGGCAAGAAAAAAGTCTGTACATATTCAGTATAGATGAGATTTTTTTCCTATGTTAATATTTTTGATTCCTGGTTGGTTGAATCCATAGATACAGAGCCCACGAATATGGAGAGCCAACTGTGTGTGTGTGTGTATGTGTGTGTGTAATTATCAATAATTATATATAGTTATATGTAAAATTTAAATAACATCACTATTTTAAATATGTTTAGTTTTTAAGGACATTGCTTCCACCTTCTGAATCAAAGCATTTTATTTTCACATAAAGGAAAATATTGGTACTGTTGGTTCTTGGTTGGGCTTACTCAGGCATGGGGCATTTCCTTGGGAGAAAATACACAAACCTGGGGCACAGCCCCCTGTAAGGAGCATCAGTGAACTGACATTGTTGCTGTTGGTTGAGATATTCCAGTTCTGAACAGCAACTCTGATGGGGGGATGAAAGAGAGGGACAGAGAGGAAGCCGGGCTCCCTCTTACCCAGTCATAAGAGAAGGACTCAGGACAGGGGCATTCTGAGTCAGGGACCTACAGCCTTGATGAGATCCATGGTTGGTGGTGACAGAGGTGGAGAAGGCTCAGATGGAACCCTGCTCCCTTCACTGGCTACCCAGGTCCTGGCCAGGACCTCTGCAGGGAGCCTCAGGGATCCACTCCATTCTCTGGGGACATCAACCATCCCCAGTTCCTTGGGATTACTTCTCAGAGGCTCTGCTCAGGGTAGGAGGCCAGGGAAGTCTTGGACATGGGGAGGGAGCTACAAGCAGGTACACGAAGCAGCAGACACTGCAGACAGACAGACTAGGCTGCAGGAAGGTCTGCTTAGCTGAGGACAGTCTGGCAGGACCGAGTTGCTATTCTTTTGATGTGAGTTCAAACTCACATCAAAGAGCCAAACAAAGAAACAAAGAAGAGTCAACCCAGCTATCTTCATCGTCTGAGCAGATGGCTGCTACTCCTTAATGGCACAGGAATGGAATTTCAAGAAGCACCTGACAAGGGATGGGCCCGGCCATTCCCAGCCCCCTGGTTACACATTTACCTGGAACTGTAGCTTGGGAGCGAGCAGGTTGGTTTGTGGAGGGGGTCTATACTTGGGCCGGCTGGGCTGGAAAAGAGGATATAGAGCAGTGTCAGTTGCATCTCTCCCATTAATGAATGGATTGGCCCACTAAGGGGAGCATCAGCTTGAATATAGCTCAGCCTCATTCACAATGAAGGAGCAATGGTGGACAAGGTTATCATTAAATCATTTTGCATCCACTTCTGAGCACCAATTACATGCTGAGAGATGGGAAGTCACAGGGGCTGGCCTCTGCCAGAGGGGCTATGGCCAATTGGAGGGGTTAATGACCTCTGTGTGTGCAGCCTCCCTGTATGTGTGAGTGCCTGACAAACCAGCCATGGATAGCCACATTCAGAGCAGGAGGTCACTGAGGGCTCAGGGACTCACAGAAACTTCATGGAGATAAAAGCTGCATTGGGCCCCAGGGAAAGGGCAGCACATGCCTGGCAGGAGGAACAATGAGAAAAGACCTTGGTTCAGATCATACATTATTATGGACTGAATGTTTGTGTCCCCTTTAGTTCATATGTTGAAGTCCTGTCCCCCAATGTGACGGTTTAGGAGGCAGAGATTTTGGAAGGTGATTAGGGTTCAATGAGTTCATGAGGATGGGGCCCCATAAAGGGATTAGTGCCCTTAGAAGAAGAGGAGGAGAGACCAGAGGTTTCTCTCTCTCTCTCCACCAGGTGAGGACACAGCAGGAAGGTGGCTATCTGAAAGCCAGGAAGGGGCCCTCACCAGATACCAAAGTTGCTAGAGCCTGGCCTTGGACTTCCAACCTCCAGAAGAGAGATAAGTGCGTGATTTAAGCCACTCATTCTGTAGGATTTTGTTATGGCAGCTCTAGCTGACAAATACAGGCATGGTCTCTGGACCCCTCCCCCCACATGATGGTGGAGCAGTGGGGCTCTGGTTCCTGAGCCCAAGCTGCCATGGAGAGCATGGACAGAGACTGGACTTTGGGGGCCTAGGATGCTCTCCATCCATGTATCCTCGGGGAGAGCTAACTTAGCCCTAGGAAGCTCTCAGAAGAAAAGTGCCCAGCCTCCCAAGGGGAAGTTCTGAGAAATGACAAGGTATCTGCTGTCTCAGATGACACCTGCCAGGGCCTGGAGATGACAGGGGGTGATAGCCAGCTGAGTTGCAGAACTGAGAGAGGATTGTAGGAAAGCCTCCTGCTTACATTGAGCAGGCAGTGGGTCACACAGGCCCTGGCTCTGTCATGGCTCATGGGACTAATAGCAAGGCCAGGGGCTGGCTTACCTTGGGTGGGGGTTCCTGGGAGGCGATGGGCTCCAGTATTTTAGGTGGTCGGTAGCGAGCATTCCTTTCTTGCTCTACGGCAATGTCCTTCTCCATCTGATATATGTCACTGCCGAGGCAGCAGGTCAGACAGGGTGAGAGACAGGGTCAAAGCGAGTCACTCCTCTCTACTACACTGAAACTAGGAGAGGCCTGGACAAGGGCCTTGATCCCATTTTCCTTTACGTTTCCTCTGAAGAGTGGCCTGGGGGACCCCTCTGAGATAGGCTGGGGTATGGATCCTGAGGGCTTAAATCACGCAACTTTGGGAGGACCAAGGGGATGGGTCCAAGGTGGGAGGAGGTCCCTGGAGAGCCAGACTTAGCCCAACCGAGCAGCAGAAGCCTGCTGTATCCCCAGCTCCCCACACTTCCTGCCCTCCTGTGCCTGCTATTGGAGCCAGTCCCCTGTTTAGATTTCCAGGTCCCAGTCAACTTCATGATGAAGGCCTGGGTTTGACTTGTCATAAACAATCCACCATCTGGTTTCTGATGTCAGCAAATGGGCTGTGGATTCACCTCCCCCAACCCCCACCTGTTAGCTGTTCTAGTGCCCTTCAACTTTCTGCCCCAATTCAGTGCTTCTCAACCTGGCATCCCAGACCCCAGAGGCCTCTGGAATTACTGCAGAGGCTCCATCAATCCACATGTTCAAATGGGTATGAGTGTTACGTACTTTTGAATACTGCCTGGTACTGTGTTTTCAAATACATGTATTTTGTCAATCAAAGGATTCTAAAATTATGATAACATGGAAGAATTCTCCAAATTTGACCTTTAAAACAGCCCTTCCTACCCCTGCAAGATTGGGAAACACTAATCAAAACCTTTCTTTCCCTTAAAGAAGGGACTGTGACCTGAGGGAGGCATCTGGGGTCCTTTGGATCTTTGAGTATCCTTCCTTTGCATCAGAGAAGCCTGCTTCAAACTGCATCATGGCGGGAGGCTGGCCCAGTGCCTCCAAAGGAGACAGCTCTCATATCAGGCACCCCATCACACTCGGCTGGTTCTCCAGGTCCCAGAATGGATTAAGACCACACCCTCCTCACTCAGAACTTCTGCTCTCTCAAAGTACAGCTTCCAATACATTTCTCCTGGAACTCCCTGGCTTCTCCAATCTCCCTTGTGAGGGACAAACTCAGATGAATTAATCAGGAGAGCCAATGAAGGAGGGAAATAATTTTTATTTTGAGACAGGGTCTTGCTAAGTTGCTTAGAGCCTCACTAAGTTTCTGAGGCAGGCCTTGAACCTGCAATCCTCCTGCCTCAGTCTCCTGAGTCACGGGGTTTACAGGCGTGCAATACCACACCCAGCCAGAGAGGCTTTTTAAGCTAGAGGTTTTGCAGGCTATGTTGGGGACCCTGCCCCACAAACAAATGCAGGGTTATCCCTGCTGCCCCCAGCCTGGGCATTCCCAGCCTCGTCCTTGGTGGCCCTCTAACCAGCCAGTTTGTAGGGGTAATTTTCTTGCCCTCACTAAAATTTGCCAACATGTTTATATGATATCAATGAGTAGTATTAACAACAGGTTAATGTTGTTAAAGGTCAATTAAGCAAGAGATCCCCTAAAACAGAGGTCAGCAAACCATGGTCACAGGCCACATGTGGTCTCCTACCTATTTTTCTATGGCTTCAAATTAAGAATGGTTATCACATTTTTTAAATAATTAAAAAATGAAAATAAAAAGATATTTCATGACACATGAAAATTATGAGAAATTCAAATTTCAGTGTCCACAGATGAAGTCTTATTGAACAAAGCTACTCCCATTCATTCACTACTGTCTATGACTATTTTTAAGCTGTGGAGGCAGAGATGAGCAGACTCGACAGAAGCCCCAAAGATTCACTATCTGGTCCTTTACAGAGAAGGTCAGCTGATTTCCTTGCTAAAGTATGCCTAATGAAGGGGACCACCCTTGGGAGCACTGATGGCAGGCATGCCACCAAGCAAACTGGGGACTCCTGGACCTCTGAAATGGACAACACCCTTCACCTGTGACCTTCCAGTACCAGGGGAACAAGTGTCTTGGCACTGAGAAAGATAAGGCCTCAGACTCCTAACCCCACTCAGGAGACAGGTGTTTTCCAGCCAAACTCTGCAGACCACAGGTGTCTGGGACATCCTTTTTTTTGGTACCAGGGATTGAACCCAAGGGGTGCTTAACCAATGAGCAACATCCCCAGCCCTTTTTATATTTTATTTTGAAATGGAGTCTCACTAAGTTGCTTAGAGCCTCGCTAAGTTGCTGAGTCTGGCTTTGAACTTGTGATCCTCCTGCCTCAGCCTCCTAAGCTGCTGGGATTACAGGTGTGTATCACCATGTCTGGCTGCACCAGACTTTTTTTGATTCCAATAGAGAAAATACCATCTGGGCACAGCATGAGCAAGGCGCAGGGCTGGGGTGGAGAGGCCCTGATGAGAGGGCTTCCCCAGGCTCACCTTGTCTCTGGGCTCGTGTCTGACAGTGAACCTGGCCTCAGCCTTTCAGCCCCTGACGGAGCTGCTTCTGTACTGAGTGCCCGAGGCTCACCATGCCTCTGCTGGAAGGACCAGTTCATTCCGTGTGGTCACGTGGCTCGTGATGATCAGAAGGGAGGTCTGGGTACACGTCCTGGCCCCCCTGTCACTGCCTTGGGCAAGTCACTGACTTTGAACCTGCACCCTTCCACTCAGCAGATGGGAATGGGGCCACCTGCTGCATAGGCCCGAGGAGCCCCTGAGTGCACTGACTTAGCTGTAAACCTCTCAGTGCCACCGGCAGCAGCTTGCCTCTGGGGCAACCCAGCCATCGCCCCCCACCCCCGCAGCTCCCCAGCCCATGCTCACCTGAGGCTGCACACGAGCTCCGTGAAGCGGGGCCGGTCACTGGGGTCATAGTCCCAGCAGCGGGTCATGAGGGTGTAAAGGACAGGTGGGCAGAGGTCAGGCTTGGGCAGCCGGTCCCCTTTCTCCAGCACCCCGATGACATCCTTGTTTTCCAGCCAGAAGAAAGGCTGCTTCCCAAAGCTCAAGATCTCCCACATGCACACGGCTGAGGGCAGAGGGGGAAGATCAGGCACCCTGCTGGGAAGTGGGGACCCCGGGGACACTATGGCCATTGCACTTGGTCCCAGCAGGGAGTGTCTGTGTTATCTTGCAACTCCCTCTATGGCCACTGGGGTCTTACCCACCATGGTGGTCCACTCAAGGGACCAATGACCTACATCTGTGGTACATGAACCAGGGCTTCCCCTCCCTGGACTCCCTCAACATGGAGCTGTCTGGATTCTGTAGGATCAGGAGGTGGCCCACGTTGGAACCCTAGAACCTTCCTGGGAAGATTAGGAGCTGCAGTAGAAGGCCAGGCACCACCCCTTGCTGCCTGTATGATCATGGGCAAGCCCCTTACTGGTCTGAGCCTCAGTTTCCTTATTTGGAAAATGGGGGTAACAATGAGGAGGTTTATGGTCAGCTGTGGGAGAACTGGCAGGTAACCTGAAGGGCTGTGTTTGGTGAGGGTGTCCATTCACACCCAGCTGGGCACGCTGCACTCCCTGCTTCTCCTTACATGAAACACCCGAGTTTTGTATTTGAAGCTCCCCTCCAGGCGTCCCCACATTTATCCTTGGAGCTGGTTGGTGGGGTCCATGCTTCTCATCAGAGCCTTTGATAGGAGGATGGGCCCAGATTTTCTAGGCCAGTCCTTGGCTCATGTCACCCCTGACTCTACTACCACCTTCCCACCTCTGGGACTTCTCAGTGGCCACAGTGAAATGGGGTGTTGTGGGTTCAGGGATCATCCTCCTCTTGGTCCACCCACACAGAGAGTCTAAGCCCATTCCCACACCCTCCTGAATTGCCTCGTACCAAACATCCAGACGTCACTGGCTGTCGTGAAGCGGCGGAAGTTAATGGATTCGGGGGACATCCATTTGATGGGGAGACGAGTCACAGAGGCTTGGGGTGGGCAAAGAGGTTTACAGGCATTATTAAGGGAAGAAAGATCCAGAATTTTCCAGAAAAACAGCCTACTGTCTGTCCAGAGGCCCGTGGTCTGGGCTGCCCAGTTGTAGGCTCCTTCTGGGATTTTGGTTTCAGGGACAAAGCAGGGGCGGGAAGTTCCCTCACCCTTGTAATACTCATCATCCTCAATGTATCGAGAAAGGCCAAAGTCCCCCAGCTTCACACACTCCGGGGAGGCCACAAGGATGTTCCGGACGGCGATGTCCCTAGAGAAGGATGTGGAGACCAGGGTGAGGTACTGCCTAGGACCCTGGGGCAGGTGGGAGAGCTGAAGGAAGGTTCCCAGAGGTGAGTGCAGGAAGAGGTTGCATACAGGTAGCTTCCTGCGAGCTGAGCTCCAGCCTCCTAAAGGAGCTACTGGTACTGATGGCCCTGGCCCTGGCATGGCTTCCCACCCCAAACCAGTGGGCCTGTTGGCTTCTCGCAGGCAGCTCTGCTCCCAAAAGTCTGCTTCCGTTGTTAAAAAGCTGACTTGAAAGCATGCAGGCTTAAGTACCCCGAGGGGCCCGGCCCATCATTCCACCCCCTTAGCCTACCGCCACTGACAGGGTGTACTGGACGCTCATGCTAGGACATGAGCTTCGCAAGGACAAGGTTTGTCTGTTTTGGTCACAACTTTGTCCCAGAACCTAGGACAGTGCCTGGCACCCAGGAGGAGCTCCAAAATACTCATTGAATGAAAGGATACTTCCTGCATGGCTTTGCATAGGGTCAGGCACAAGGCCACCCACACAGGCCACGTCAGTGGTGGGGAAGCACCCGGTAAGTGTCCAGGTCATCTCCCAGGGCTATGTTCCCATGGCAGTAGCCTCCTCTCAGGGAATGGGAACAAGGCCAGGTGGGGAAGGGATAGCTCCACAGCCCCAGGGGCTGGGGAATGAGGGTGGTGCTGGGCCTCAACCTCAGGATCTCCCAGTGCTCTGCTGGCCCAGATCCTCTTCCTGGACCCCCTGCTGCCAAGTGGGCAGGCTGGAGGAGGTGGAGCTCTGAGAAGGTGGGAGGAGGTTTCCTGGCGTTGCAGGGGAGGGGCAGAATGTCACAGCTTCAGTCAGAGGCTGAGCTTTGGAGTTGCTCTGGAGCTACTCCCAGTGACAGTTCTCTGTCGCACAACTGTTTTGGCTTTTTAGTGAGGAAACACTCTGTAGAGGTGCTCAAGCACTCTAAGCTGCTGGGCGCGGGCCCAGGCTGGGAGTCCAGCTCCACCCTGTGTAACCCTCTGTGATCAGTTTAAGGCTTGGCTTCCCACTGTCCCTGTGCTCCCACCTGTGCACACAGCTGATGCTCTCCAGGTAGGCCATGGCTTTGCATATCTGCAGCGCATACAGGACGAGGGTGGGCACCTTCAGGGAATTCTTATTTCGCTCCAGATAGTGGCCCAGCTGTGGGGAGGGAAGTGCCGTCAGGCCCCCAGCATGGAGCCAGGGCTGTTGGCAGCCACTGACCCTCCCCTTCCTCTGGGGGCAAACCCCAAGTCAGCAAGATGTTCTGGCAATTTCCTCTATCAACAGGGCCTCTGCTTCTGCTGAGTACGGAAATCAGGAAACTGGGAGAAGTGTCCTTTGCTCTAAGTGTCCCTTGGTGCCCCAGCTATCCTCAGGGTGCCTGGCCTGCCTCCTCCAGCTCACCTCCCCATAGGAGTACAGTTCCATGATGATCCAGGTGGGCTCCTCTTCGATGATGCCGATCAGCTTCACGATGTGGGGGTGGTCGAGATTCTTCATGATCACTGAAGTGGGAGAGGGAGGTCACACAGGAGAATGGGGGAAAGAGGGAGGAGAACCCTCCCCTCTCCCCTCCCCTTGAGAGCCAGGGAGTCTGGGCCCTGTCCAGGAGTGCCTACCTGCCTCGCTCATGAACTTCTCCTTATTGTCCAGGGTGCAGTCCTTCTTGCAGGTCTTGACAGCCACATTGATTTTCTCCCCTTTCTGCAACAAGAGGGTTTAGGGAATCTTGGTCCAGCCTAGTGCTCAAAGGAAACTGTTCCCTCCCTGGCCTCAGCAGGGCCTTCCCACAGACTTTGCCGACTGCTGAGGGGCGAGGCGACCTGGCCTCTGCAGGACACACCACCCCTTCCTTTCTTCCATTTCTCTTCTCCCCTTTACCCTTCCCTTCCTCTTCTTCCCCTTTCTTCTGGACCAGGCAGGGTTAGAACCAGAATGGGGTTTGGAGATCAAAGAGCTCAAGCCCAGCTGTGTAGACCAGGATGCTGAGACGAGGTTAGCAGGTGACCCCAGGCCTTCACGAGATGTGGGCTGGCTGGCCTCGTTCTCTCTACAGTTGGCTTCAAACCGTGCTTCCTTCCTTCCCTCCCCACACCCCGGCGCTGCCCTCCCCAGGCTTGCTGAGCATGACCACAAAGGCGAAGCCAGCCCACCTAGAGGTGCCCCGAGATGAACTCCCACTTGGCTGGGTCCACCCTCCTGCCCTCCGTGTATTCTCCTACCAAAGCCACCGTGACCTTTCTCCAGGGCCTGCCTCTATTTTAATCCCCAGTGATTTTCTGTCCTCCTTGGGAATGACTGTCCTCCCCATCACTCCCTGAGTATTTCATAAATACTCCAAGCCATGTGGATAAGCCGTGGTCCTCCATGTCACGGCTTCCACCTCCAATAGCCTCAGGATCGAGTGCCTGCCTCACCCCCAGACAGGTGGACAAAGAGTCGGGAAGAGTCTGGGACTCACGTGGTTTGTGTAGACCCCTTCATAGACCTCCCCAAAGAAGCCTTCTCCTAGAATACGGTTGAGAACCACCTCCTCGCGGGCAATGCCGTACTGTGGACCTGCACAGATGGAGAACACAGCCCCTGGGCACACAGACTAGCTGGCATCCCCTGGTGCCCCAGAACCCCATAACACCTCAGCCAAAATGCACAGGCTGGGCTGGGAAAGGGGATCTAGAATGTTCCACTGCCTCAGATCCATGGAGGAGCCATCACCCCGTTTCCTGGGTCCCAGGTCCATGTTCTTAGAACCCCCATATCCCACAGACACACAAAAAGCACATGATCCATCAGGGGAAGACCTCAGCTTTCAACCCACAGGAGCCCGGGCTGGCTGCTGCCTGAGCACACTTGGGGCAGGAGGAAGGGAGGGCAGGAAGCTCCACGGTGGTGTCCCAGGAGTCCTCATCATGTCACTTCCCAGACCCCTGACTGGTCGCCCCTTGGCGGGGTCCAGGACCTACCTCCCGGCCGCCTCAAGGTCTCGTCAGGAATCTCTGCATAGATGTCTGACTCTGGAACGACAGGAGGACACCCAGCGCACGGGTGAGATGCCTCAGGCAGGGCCAGGAACCGGGGTGTGGCTCCCACCCGGAGCCCAGCGCAGCCAGAAGTCAGGGTGCTGGAGGGGGAAGCTGGGCAGGCTTTGGGGCAGCCACTGAGTCTGGGGTGCCTTGACACAGTCTCTGTTTTGTTATCTAGGGCAAATCCATCTCCTTCAAACATACCTGTTACCCATTTAACACCATTATGAACTGGCTGCTTGTGTCTCATAGCCCTAACTCACAATTTGATGGTTTTAGGATATGCGGCTTGGAGGGGCAATTAGATGAGATCGTGGAGCCCCCATTACAAGATTAGTGTCCTTATAAGAGGAGGAATGGCACCAGAGTTCCTTCTCTCTGCATCACAGGAGCACAGTGATAAGGCACTCATCTGAATCTGCTGGTTCCTTGACCCTGGACTTGCCAGCCTCTGGAACTGTGAGAAATCAATGTCTGTCTGTAGTCATGTGGTCTGTGGATTTTGTTTGGGGCCACCTCTCGTTATGACAAACTCAGTGTGTACACTAACTACTCGATATATGCTCGCTATTACAACTGGCGATATTTTGAAGCCAGTGCTGAGAAGGGTTAGGAAAGGTTGTTTTCTGTAACTTGGAGGGAACGGTCAGAAGAGCAGGCAGAGGGACGAAGCCTGGGGAGGTGGGCACAGGCCGTGGGCAGGGTGGGCACAGGCCGCGGGCAGGGTGGGCAGGCTTACCTATGCTGCAGCTTTCTGAGAGGTGGGACCGCCTCGCCTCCAGGTTTCTGCAGGAGGAGAGAGGGCAGGAGGCAGATGAACACAGAGCTTGCAAAGCTCCCCCAGAGCTTTCCCCCTCACCCACCGCCCGATTGCAGAAGCAGCCCACCTGGCTGCAACAAGCAGGGGCATGGCCTGGGCCTAGAGATGGGGCACAGCAGCAATCCTCCCAGGATGTCACCAGCGGGCAGCAGGGAGGACAACGCGCTGTGTGAAAGGCCAGGGTCTCTAGTTCTCTCAAAAATGAGGGGGTGGGGGCACCCTGCTTGTCCATCCTCCTCCCAGCATACACTGGCTGAGCTCAGGGCCCTTCCAACTCCCCACTGTACTCACAGGGTGGGGATCTGGGGCAGGCTGTTCCGCTTCTCACCATCTGGAGAGACAGGAGGGGAGGGAAGATTGGAGCCAGGGACACAGAATCCGGGATGGATGGAGGGCCTATCACTGCTCCACAAGGAGACCCCTCCCCACCTTCTGTCCCCTCTCAGCATCAGGGTGGAAGCTATGTAGGCCTTGGGCCAGAATCAGAATCCTCCTTGTAGGCTTCCTCCTGCCAGCACCCCGTGATCCATCTCAGACCTACTTTCTGACCCTGGTCCCAAAACGAGGAAGGTCCACCATGTCCTAGCAATGGCTCTGATCTCCCTGGTACTACAAATGCAGCTCCTCCAGAAGCTGGCCTCTATGAGGCTCTGACTAGCAGGACCAGCAGTGGCTGTCCAGGACCAGGGCCTGTAGCTGGCGACCCAGAATGGCCCCACAGGAAGCACCTGCAGGGCTGCTTGAGCGCCTCCCCACACCCCTGAAGAATGCATTTGCGCAAGGGCCAATGGCTCCACGCCCCCATGCCTCCACATCGCCCTGCAGGCTTGGCTCAGCGTGCAGCTGTCCACTGTTGCGCACTGTGCCTTTCAGGGAAACCTACCTTTCTTGGGATGGATGATGAGAGAGCCTTTATGTTCCCCCTGAAGCCGGCAATAACCGTCTATGAGGTCAGCCATGTTCTCAGCCTCTGCCAGGGATGAGGTTTTGATGGACAGAGACTGCAGAGAAAAAGCCAGCCAAAGGTGAGACCTCAAGCCTTGGCTACACTGTACCCCCTAGTGCTGCTAGAGAGGCTGCAGGACTTCCACCCCCAGCCCTGCTGCAGGAACCCCAACCCCAGCCCATGCTTCCTCTCAGCTCTGCTGGCCTTCCATGTCACCACTAGGGGGCGTGCGTGTGCTCCCTCCTACTGACCACCCTGAGCTCTGGGAAGACCAGCAAGAGAGCGTGATGCCTTGCACCATGTGGGGTGCTCACTATGTAAAGCAGAAACTGAGAAATGGGAAGCAGAGCAGGGACAGACAGGGGAGAGATAGATGCAGTTGGAGGTCTCTGATTCTTCCACCATGAAATCCCCCTGTCCCTGGGATCTCGACCGATAAGTCATTTTTCACTTGGTCAATATTAGACCCCGCTTCTTTCCTGACATTAAAATAAAAATACCAACCATCACCCCAACACCTTGTTAGGGCATGGGTGCAGTTTTCTTAACAAGATCCCCAAAGCCACGGAAGCCCTGGCTTCCTGCTTGCCACAGTCAGGTCGACCCAAGGGCATCCTAACCCATAGTGATACCCCTGAAGAGCCTCCAGGTGTCCAGGGATGCTCACCTGGGGTGCGCCTTCAATGCCCAGCTGCAGGACAGCCTGGCCCTCCTCCAGCGGGAGGCACCTGATGGACCTGATCTGCTTGAACTCAGCCAGGCAGGTGGGCTGTGGAGAAGAAGGGGCCCTTAAGAGCATCCCATTGCTGGGATCAGGCAATACAGATGGGTCAGGAGGGGGAGGGAGGAGCGACTGGGAGTCTCTCTGCAGATGAAGGGAGTTAATCTGGAAGGATCATCATGTCCAAGCCCCTCACCTTTCAGAAGAGAAAACAGGGTGTGGAGAAAGGCAGAACTTGCCCAAGGTCATAGGTCAAGATGGCAGTAGAGTCAGAACTGGACCCAGAACTGCCTCCCCTTGCCACTTACAGAGCTACTCTTCTCTCTGTACCACGAGAACGCCAAGCACGTCCTTTTCTCTCTCTCTGCACCTATGTCTGCAATAAGGAGCCATCTGCCCAAGCTGCCATCCCCAAACACTGTCCACAGAGCTCACACCAAGGGCGTGGCTCTCTGCTCTCAGCAACGGGGAAGAAGAATGATTGGGCAGACAGAGAAGGAGTCGGAAATCTAAGACCCTGAGCCAGGGGCTGGCGCGGCCTCAGTGCTCTCTACCTTCGCATCTTGACTTGTCAGCTGGCGGATGCCTTTGGGGCCAATGACCAGGTCCACTGTAATGTTCCACCCTTGCTGGAATAGTGGAGAGAGGGGACTGTTACCTCTGTTCTGCCACCTGGTGTGTTGACACTCTAAGAGAGGCTCACTAAGCTACACCTCACCATGCAGCTCACCCCTCTGGATAACTGCCCACCTGCCCATCTCCCACAGCTGGAGGCCAACATTCAGCTCCCTGCTCGGCACATGGATTAACACGAGTTCTGCCACAGGCAGGTAACAGCAAGGCCCTGCTGCCCGAGCTCTGTTCCTGTCCCCGAATAGCTCCCTGGCCCCCTAGCCTGCCAGCCTGGAGAGAATGAGGAGGGTGGTCATTACAACAAGTTCACAGCGATAGGTCTCCTGATCGATGTTGGCAAAGCCCGCCAGGGTGTTGAAGAACTTCATGACACACTCCTCCTCCCGGAGCGAGGCGTACTGCTGGAAGGTCTGCTGGATCATCTTCCGGAACTGCTTGGGCTGGGGAGAGGTCGGCAGTGCTGAGCCAGGCCCTGCCCTTCCTGGCACCTGTCCTTCCACTAGGTCTCACTGAGAGGATGCCCATGCTGGAAGATGCCCCCAGGGCTCCTGCCATGACAGCAACACTGACCTGTTCCCCAAAACACACTCAGTGGTCTCGGGCGGGGCCCACCCTAACCCTGTGCAGGAGGCAGGGAAATCGGCCTCCCAGGGCTCAGGCTGCCTCTTGGGAGGCTGGAGGGAGGCACAGCCCGTCCTGATTCTCCGCCACAGAAGTGGCCCACTGGGGGCATTTGGCTCTCCTATGTCCTGGCTCCAGGCAGCACAGACGCCCCAGCTTCTTTGAGGATCCCCAGCCCAATCCTTGTAGTTCCAGCCCAGGGGATCTGCACAAAGAAGGGTTTTCTGGGCCCCTCACCCTTTGATTTTCTCACCTTTAAATTCTCCTGCATCTGCTTTGGGAAAAACAGGTCGAGTCCCACTTCCTTTCTGAAAACAGGGAAACAGAAGCAGCATTTGGCTCTCCTTCCCTCCAGCTCAGGACTTCTGGCCAGTCGAGAGGGGGTACCAAGGCTTGGGGACCAGGAGAAAGGCCCTGACTACCTGGCTCTGGTCCAGGGCTGAGTGGGAAAGGAGGCTCTGGAGGGAAGGAAGGGAGGGTCGGGAGGGGGTCGGGAGGCCGCCCCGCACTTACTCCAGGAGCTCGAAGTTGGACTTCTTGTCAAGGGCGTTGTGGGGCATGTCCTTGAAGAACCGCCTGGAGAGAAAGGAGTCACGGGGGGAGAGTCGGTGGCTGGAGAAGGAGGCCACCAGGGCAGGACACTCATGTCCAGGCATTGGCCTTGGGGCCCCTTCCCCTGCCAGAGGTGGGATTCATGGGGACAGAGCAAGGTGGCGGGGGGTAAAATTGGATCTTCAGAAAACAGCGAGGACAAGGAAATCCCACAGACTTTGTTCCCAGAAAGGCACCAGCCTAGTGGTCTGGGAGACCCAGCTCCTGGGCTGTGGGCTCTGAGGCTGAGGAAGAAATGGCGGCTCTCTCCACAGTGCCCGAGAACAACCAAGCCCAGGAGGTTAACTCTCAGGCCGTCAGCCCGGGGACGGGGACGCCATCTGCACCTTCAGGTCCTGGGTTCCTGGGCACTTTCTTTTTTGCCTATTTGCTATCTCTGAAATGTGTGCATATGTTTGAGTGTTCACCTAAACAATTATTAAATGAACATGTTAAAATTTTTGAATTTGTAAAAGAAAATAAAAATAATTCATAATCCTACCACCAGAGGTGGCATCTATTAATATATGACACATCTTCTTCAAGTCCCATTTCTCCTAAAAATATATGCATTCATGAAAACTTGTATGTACTGTCAGATGCCACATAATGACCTTTTGGTCAACAATGGACCACAGATATCATGGCGGTCTCATAAGATTACTTCACCTAGAGTCATAGCTGTCTTAGTTTGTGTAAATGGACTCTATTGTGCTGACGTGACAATGAAATTACCTAATGATGCATTTCTCAGAATGTATCTCCACTAGTAACTGATGCATGACTGTGGTATTTATTTGTAGCAATGGTGGTTTCAGCTGAGACCAAATAGCCAATGTCCCTGCATATGCCAGCCTCCCTTCCCTGTCAAGATTGCTGTGTCTAGTCATTTCACTGACTACTGCAGACACTGTCCAATCTTACATTAAAGAAACTGGTTCCTCCAGGAGCGAACCTTCATGTGCACTGTGGTGTTTGGGTGATAATGACACATCAATCGGAGCAATCGCAGAGTGGCAATGAGTGCTGTGCGGGTATGGGATAGGAGAACTCTGTGCCATCTGCTCAGTTTAGCTGCAAATCTAAAACTTCTCTGAACAAAAGTCTATTAGAGACAAATAAGTAAATAAAATAAGGGTTGAGAGAAAAATGTCAGCCAAGTAAATACACAGTTACAGAACACTTTAGTCCCTGTCATGGTTGTAAGTACTTGAAATATAGTAACTCACTAATTCTTCCTAACAACCCTGTGAGGTTGTTCCATCATTCCCATTTTACAGATGAAGAAACTGAGGCACAGGGAGATCAGATGACTTGCCCAGGATAACACAGTCAATGCAAGCCCCAGGATGCATGCTCAGAAAGCCCAGCTTCTGACCTGTGCTGTACATCATTACACCCAATTCTCCAGATAGGATCTGATCTGAGTCCACAGAGGATTCATGTCCCTAATCTCATGTCTGCTGCACCTACCATACTTCTTTTTTAACCAAGAAACAAGGCATACTCTTTTCCTGGTGATGTCGTTATCCATAGGCAAGGTGTATAATCTGTGATGCTAACAGGACAAGGGGCTGTTACCCATGATTTTCAAGGAAGAGTCACATCCCTGGAAGAGTCGACTTCATGGTATGATTTTCAGAACCATATCTGACTCCGTTAGTGGCAATAGTCAAAACTTCACTTTAAAATAGCCCAACTTCACATACAACTGCATTCTATCTATCCTTTTCATTTAAAAATGATCTGAAAAATATTCTCAGTTTTACAAAGTAGGTGTTTCCCACGCCCTTTCCCCATCAGCACACCCCTGATCTCAGGGGTCACCGGTAAGAATAGGAACCTTTATCTGATGCTCCTGAGACTCAGGAGACATGAAGCAGCATGTCCTTTTCAGGAAACAGTCCTGGGAGCAGTCCGGGGCTGATCAGAGAGCAGCCTCTCTAGCCTGCCCATTCCTGACCTCACTCTCTCACAGAGCCTGGTCCTCCAGCCTCTTAGCACAGCCCCTGCCACTGAAGCCACAACCAAAAACAATTCAGGGATGACTGGAGGGTGTAAAAATGTGAAGTGGAATGCAAATGGATCCCCTCTGGGCTGCTTTCACTAAGTGATGACTGACAGGTGATTCACTGGAGTCTCCAAGTGATACCACAGCCCTAAGTGTGAGATCCACCAACAAAAAGGAAAAGATAAGCTCTTTAGAACTATCTAATTTCAGAGGGGAAGACTGTAGGATGCCATGCAGGGTATAGGGCTGCAGGGGTCCTGGAAGGCAGGCCAGGGCACACGGTGTCTGTTGTCCCAATAATGTCATTAGCCTGCCATTGTCATGGCCTCTTACATGCCAGCCATCTTTGCTCTCCAAGTTCACCCCACCCCCATTCTCTAGTCTATGCCTTTCTTCCTCCATCCCTGGGCGGGCGAGGATGCATGTCCCACTGGGTGCCATTATCTGCCAACCAAGAGGTATTTTTTCCTTCCAGGGGCAGTTCAAATCCCCTCTCCCTGCTGCCTGCAGGCAAGGTTAATGGCTTCACTTGGAAGTGGTATATGTTCGTTCTGCCTTGTATTATGATTAATTGTGTACACATCTGTCACCTCCCAAACACTGTGAGCTTGAGGACATCGCCGAATGCTGTGCTAATTCCACACAGAGTGCCTCCTGGAGCTGGGGTGCTATAGTGGGCAGCACAGAGGGGGACCCCTACATTCCAACAGCCCCAGGGCCTGGCCTGGTGCTCTGAAGCATTTGCAGAAACACTTGCAAAGGACAGAGGGAGAAGCAGGCAGCCCAGAGGCAAGGGCAGGGCAGGGGGTGGGGACTGAGCAGAGGGAGCTGGTCCTTCTCTCCCATTTATTCCAACGACCAGATGGCGAGCACCTCAGAGGCCCACTCTGCTGGCTTCCTCTCCTCCCCTTCCCAGCTCTCACGTGCTCACTCCCACTTCCACCCTAGATGCTCGAAAGTCCAGGCCAGCCTCGGACCCAGCAGAACACTCTCCCAGGAGAGACCTTGAGGCCACTTACCTGAGCTCCAGACAGCCCAGCTGCAGGGCCATGCCCTCGCTGACCTTGCTGGCATAGCGCTGCATGTAGTCATTCCGGAGCTGGCAGGAGAAAGATCACAGGTCAGACTCACGCCCTCACCGTCCCCCTTCCCTGAGCAGAGACCCAGGAGGTGACACACCCCTGCCCCTGAGCTGTCTCATGCTCACCCAACCACAGACAAGCACTGAGCAGGGATGGGGAGCAGGTTGGGAGCTTCCTCTTGGCTCTGCCTCTGCCCCCTGGGTCCCTGAGCCCCTTCACAGGGGAACGTTCATACACATTCTCTCCCTGCTCCAGAGTCTTCACCCCATCCCAATTTGGAGAGAACTCCCTCCACCCCTGATTTGGGGAGGAGTCATTAATTTTTCCAAAGCCCTGTTGATAGGTAGGAAAGATGCCATCCATGGTCCAAGAAATGTCTGGATTAGTGTCCAGGAAATCAGAGGGGAGATGCTGGAGGGAGCTGAGACCAGCTGGAAAATACTGGCAGTAGCTCACTCTTCCTTGGTACTTCTTTGCACAGGTGCTAGGCACTTATTTAATGCTATGGCATGTCAAAGAGGCTTGGCAATTGTTCAAGAGAGCCAGTTATCACATCTTTAGAAGTTTTGTGAACTGGTGGATATCCCATTGGTAGCTTGAATCAGGTCTTGGCGGGAGCATTTACACCATGGGAACTGGCAGGTACTCTAAACCAGGGGTCTCGTCTTCCCAGAGACAGCTTACCTGCACACTGCCAATGATGTCATTTGATCCTCACAATAACCCCATCGAGTAAGTATTAGTATTTTATAGACGAGGAGACAGTTTTATGCAGGTAAATGAAATCTCCAAGAATACAAAGTTAGTAAATGGCAGAGCTGGCTAAAAACCAGGTATGAAAGACCTCAGAGCCTGTACGTTAACCTGCTCCTGCTTCATTAGCCCAGTCACCTGGGAAGCCAAGGACGTCCTAGAGGAGCTGGGAGCTTATGGAACAGGTTGGTCTGCACCAAGGTTGGAGCAGCTGACAATGATCCTCAGGCATAGCACTCGGGGCTTTTGGGTGGGGCCTTCCAAAACCTGGGCTTTGTCTTTCCATCTTCCTAAGAAAGGATGGATACACTTGGCCTGGAGGGTGCAATGGGACTCTGGAGGAACTTTTTACCTGTTGGTAAAAATAAAGCAGCGTGGTCCTGTCCTCTTTCAGGCTCTCCATGAAGTCTTCCGGCAAGTAGCGGATTTGAAGGTCATACCTGTGGTAGGGCGGTCAGACTCTGGGTGATGCAGGAAAGCTCGAATCTCGAGGAGGAAGTGGGTCCCTCCATCCTCCCTACCCTCTGCTCCCCTTC